TGTCTGCTGCATGCTCCGAACTACCAGATTCTGGGGTTCCGATAGGGGCAATCGATCGATGGCCACTTGATTCAGAAGCGTTAGGAATCAGCAACGCCCCGACCGCTCGAACGCGCTTTTGGCTGCTATTACGTGATATGCCCGCCCATGTAAGTGTCGCTTCTGTCAAGATTGCGGTGACTTGTGCTCTCAATGAGTCTACTAAGGATGCTACTGGAGTTGTTCCAATTAACGGAAACAGCGTTGTCGGTGGAGGTACTAATGGACTGAGGCATGAGTTCGAGCTTCATCCAAATATGGCCTCTCGTTGGCTTTTACTCGGTTTTCCCGGTCAGGCAGAGATCAACGCTGTGCTTGACTTCTTTTCTTCTGCTGAGGCTAGTACTGCCGGAGCTCGCTGGGGCCATGCTGAGCCTGTAAGCCCTAGCCAGGCTCTCTTACAGCTCCAGGAAATTAAGGTACATTTTTTGCTTTACTTGCAACCCCACCTATCACTTAGTAATTATTTACAACTAAATAGTCTCGATAGCTTCGTTTATACTCTGGTCTTCATAGGAAATTTGGTGCTTGACTAACTTTGGTGATTCACAATCACTCGTTTATCCTTGCTTACTGATGCTACAATGAATATAAATGTGATCCTCAACGATCTATACAAATTATACAGTGGTTTACAATATTTTAGAATAAATAAGCATTTGCAATAACAATTATTTGAAAGTTGCATTGAAAATATCTTTATTGGTACGGTTTACACTAACATGTATATGTGTAGAGCCGGTCCCGGCGTACAATTTGCGCACTGGTGAATCCATGCCGAACGTTCTTATGTCATGTGATGGAAATTCTTATGGTGATAGATAAACTTCTATAAATAGCATAGATACGGATATGTTTAAGCGTCGGTTTCCTAGACTAACTGAATCCTAGTTTGTTGTGGCAGTGTTAATGCGTTACTCTGTTTTGTATTAATCTATACTAATGCTCCAGTTAAAATGTTAGAGAGCTAACGAGATTTTATGATAATACACCATAATTCTTTTATTCGCTTGTGCACCTTACTCATACTCGATAATTATTTCTGAGGCAGAGATAGTTATCGAATTAGTCTGACCTCATTTTTGCAACTAGGTCGTATTATCAGGGCGACTTAGTTGGACTTACCTTGCCCGAAGTCCTCTTATGTATTTCTCGTTTATAGGTAGAGTTTTCAGAGTACCTGTAATTCACTCATATGATTTGTATTCACCTTATTTAGTTTAAGATGATGTAGTTATTTTACTTCCCAGCGTTGGATCGTGGGGTTGCCGGCATTATCAGTGGCTTTATGGCTATTTATTTAAGTTTAGACGTCCCGTTGCACTATGCTACCATTTTGATGAATCTGTGGTCAATGCTCTTCTGTCTTATTACAGATATCATCAAAATATTAAACAATTCTTCAATAGACGTTTACCTATCTCCCCTAGCTTAACTTTATTTACTTAATGAGCAATCCCAACATTTGGTTAGCTATTTAATGTTTCCTTTAAGTACCTAATTGCCAAACAGTTCGCCGGCATCGCCAGTGAGTCTCGCCATTCGTAGCACCATATTACAACTCGTCAAAGAGATAAGTGAAGCCCATCCTTTAACCAAACGGGTGCTAAGCAGTTGTGGTATCTCCCCTTCTACCCTAGGCTATTCACATTTACTTTATCCGCCTATCATGCCTTCCCTGTCAAAATTTTTACCGTGCTTATTTTTAATGTAGTGTGGTGTGCTCCTTCGAGCGGCATTCATGAAAACCCTTCAAACACCACACTGTCGTTATCACACCCTTCATCCTTGTCCTGGGAATGTTGAACAGAGTCTGTT